TTCCCTTCTGATTTCTTCTTCATATATATAGATATAGGATCTATGAGACAATTACTTAGAAGTACAGTATAAAAACCAATACAATAAAGGAAGACAACATAAGAGCTTAAGCTAGCCCTCACATGTCAACCATATAAAAACCAATACAATAAAGGAATATAACAGTAAAAGTATTCATATATCTCTCCAAACTCAGCAAAAACAGAAGCATCAATAGATATTCATCCAAAATTACTCTTTTAAGAGTACAAGGAAGATCAAAATAGGTCTCCCCTCTTAGACACAATATCCTTTACATGAATCCATCTAATGTTACTACAAATTGCCTCTACGTCATAAAAGGAAGATTTATTAGTAGGATGTAATGATCAATGAATGATAGCATATATACAAAGAGTGGGAGAGGGAGTGAGAGAGAAAAACAAAACATAAGACGTTAAAAACCTCTATCTGTTTAAAATATGCATATCGTCCCAAAAGTGCCACATTGAGTTGTCAACTTCTTTGAGAGAGAACAAATAAATAAAAACACAATGTTGAAAAGTTGACTATTAAAACCATGGACACTCAAAATTGCTCCCTCAAGATCTGAACCTCTCGATTTTTATTCCGTACAAAAAGAACTTTTGAGACAAAAATACATCAAAAAATTCTCATTTATAGGATGAATAATGTTTTCAACAAGTATAATTATGTCTGAAACTTCAGATGACGATGATCTTTCATGACAAGCAAATATAATGTTCAATCCCAAGGTGGATGATCATCTTGACTAGTTCGTGGTGGTTCAGGTTTCCATTCTGGTTTCTCATCCCAGTATATGTCATAGTATATGTGGCCAGGGTCACGGTTCTCCACGCAACACCACATTCCGACGTATCTCTTCATGCGATTTCTAAATTTTACTTCTCTTGCCTAAATCAACTCATCACGTTATCATCTAGAACAAAATAGTGATATAGAAAAGAAATTTTTAGCCAAAAAAAAAATGTATGATAATGCTTACCTCATCATCGAACCCTTGGAAGGCATTCGCCATGGATGAAAAGTGCAAGACTTTGATATCTTTGTACTGGGAGAATACTTGCATGTACTGTAAGACAAATTGGCAAACTATTTAGCAAAGCTTCTGAACTTTTCTAGAGTACATCAGTAAAAGCTTCAAGCATCTACCCTTTTCATGGAAAAAAAAATACAAAATAATCATATCCATGTGTCATGACCATGTCTGATTAACTATAAGACAAAAAAGTAACAAAGTCCGTTAAAAACACAAATACACGTTTCTAGAGCTTGTAAGAAGAAACCAATTCTTTGCTCTGCTTTTTGGCATTGTATCAAGAGGCCTTAGAAGAATACATAGAATATGGACAACAATAGAAAGTCAAAGGTTTAAGGTTCCAAGACTAGAATACTAAGTTGTCTGCTTTCTAACTGAACTTTGCTTAGTTAATACCATTAGAAAATGTGCTCCCACCAAATGAACAGACAATCTCATCCTACCACCATTATTATGATCTTAAACCATTACAGAATCAAAATTTAATCATTAGATGTATGTACCATCTGCTCAGTGCTATTTCTGGGAAATTGGATGAAATCACGGCTAGTTGTTCCATCGGATATATTGCATCCTTTGGAATGTGCATCACAAAGTTGAACATTAAGTAATGATTCCTTCACCTGAATCCATAATAAAAAAAGGTTATTGGGATTGAAATATATGTATGAGCCACTGAAAAACTGTACAAGCTGCTAAGTATTGCATATTGATACAATAATATTTTTCATGTTTGGGCACTGATGGATTCTGCAGGAATGAGTACTCCCTGAAATGAATTTGTGGTCCAAACTCTTCTTCAGAAAGGCCATGGAGCATGGTATGAATCTGCAACGGTGAATCAACTCTAATCAGATGATCGAAATTGTGGCAGCAGGCGTAACAATTATAACATGCAAAAAACAGTTTACATGCAGTGGAAGAAGAAAAAAACAAGTAGTGAGATGCTGTAAATATAATCAAGCATATACTTCCATTCACAAAAGACTGTCCTTTTAAAATAACTAATTAATACTGACAACAAAGACTAAAAAAATTTATTCCCAACCATTATAGATGGGATTGCTAATGGATCTCCTCTTTGTTGCTATGCTCGGTATCAAGATTTTAAATACTGGTCCAATACAAGTTTTCAACATTTGATCTGACCATTATGGTACTGGTATATCAAGCAGTGTATTCTTTGTTACATTGTTACT